CGTGTGCCGGCCCGGTGCCGGCGGTCGCTGCGGAGTGGGGGAACGTGCTCCTCCTTCGGCTCCTTAACACGGGCGCAGCCGCCCCCAGCAGCTCTCCACCTTTGCCCTGACGCTCTACAAGCACCGTGCTCGGGTGGACGGACAGACAGTCCTCGTGGGTAAGTGGGGAGTGCCCTGCTAGGTGTTCCATGGGCCTCGGGGACAGGGTGATGCTGGCTATGTGCAGAGAGGGAAACAGTGACAGTGCTGTTGGCATATGCAGCAGTATATGGACCCAAAAACATGGCAGGGAGTTCCTTGTGGTGGGCAAGGGGATGCCAAATAGTGGTTCGTAGGGAGGGAAATGAGGGAATGAAAGGATCACAGAATCAGAGAACGGTTGAGATTGGAAGGGACCTCTCCTGTCCAACCCCCTGTTCAAGGAGGGCCACCTAGAGGCAGTTGCCCAAGACCATGTGCAGATAGATGGCTTTTCAGTATCTCCAAGGAGGGAGACCACAACTTCTCTGGGCAGCCTGTGCCAGTGGTCAGTCACCCTCGCAGTGGAAAAAGTGTTTCCTGATGTTCAGAGGGAACCTCCTGTGTTTCAGTTTGTGCCCGTTGCCTCTAGTCCTGACACTGGGCACCACTGGAAAGAGCCTGGCTCCATCTCCTTTTCACTCTTCCTTCAGGTATTTATACTCATTGATGAGATTCCACCCCGAGCCTTCGCTTCGCTAGGCTAAAGAGTCCCAGCCCTCTCAGCCTTTCCTCACAGGAGAGATGCTTGTGTCCCTTAATCATCTTCATGGCTCTTCGTTGGACTCTCTCCAGTATGTCCATGCCTCTCCTGTACTCAGGAGCCCAGAACTGGACACAGCATTCCAGGTGTGGCCTCACCAGTGCTGAGTAGAGGCGAAGGCATACTTTGCCTTAATGCAGCCCAGGATACCATTAGCCAGCACACTGCTGGCTCCCAGTCAGCTTGGTGTCAGCCAGGACCCCCAGGGCCTTTCCAGCTGTGTGGTCCCCAGCATAAACAGGTATAATGGGGTTGTTCCTCCCCAGGTGGAGAACTTTGCGCTTCTCCTTGTTGAACTTCATGAGGTTCCTGTCAGCCCATTTCTCCAACCTGTCCAGGTCCCTCTGGATGACAGCACAACCCTCTGGTGTGTCAGGAACTTCTCCCAGTTTTGTGTCATCTGCAAGCTTGCTGAGGGTGCAATCTTCCCCACCATCCAGATCATTCATGAAGATGTTGAACAGGATTGGACCCATTATTGACCTCTGGGGTACACTGCTAAGTTACTGGCCTCCAACTAGACTTCATGCCGCTGGTCACCACCCTCTTGGCTGGCCATTCAGCCAGTTTTCAATCCACCTCGCTGTCTGCTCATCCAGCCCATACATCAACAGCTTCTCTGTGAGGCTTTTATGGGAGACAGTGCCAAAAGCCTTACTGAAGTCTAGGTAGACAATAGCCACTACTCTCCCCTCATCTACCAGGCCAGATCACTGTTCAGTTATTAGGCTCTTCAGCTATGCCAGTAATCTTTTACATTTGACTTCCAGGCAAGGGGATATCTAAGTCAAAGATTATCTTTGGTTTTTTCAAGGAATTGAATAGCTGTCAAAGTAAGTGCTGCAAGAATCCTGATTTAGCTATGTTAGTCACTGTTAGTCAAAGTGCTTGTTGCTAAGGATGCAGTGTCATAATGGAACTAAGTTAACTAAGATTTAAATTTTAACATTAAGTTAAGCTAGCTGTCCATGAAAGTCGCAGTCCTTTTCCCCTGTGTACCACCAGTGTTCACTTATATTCTGTACTGCTGCCTGTATCGCTACAATTTCTGTGTTTTCAGAGTATTGCAACTCTGGAAGAGGCTGTGAGATGTCATCTTGCACACCTCTGCACAGGAGAAACTCTGTACTTAATGATAGTCTTCACTGATATATATTTTATCTATTTAAAGACTTCCAATGACAGAGACTGCTTAGGCCATCTATTCCAACATGTCAGGGTTCTTACTGCTGGAAAGTCTGTCTGTCTTGATACTTAATGCAAATCTTTATTCAAGGTAAACCGGTTATTTCCTGTGTTTCCTCAACACTGAACAAGTTTTTCTCCCCTTCCTGTTTGCACCAGCTTTCTACATGTTTGAACACTGTACCTTTCCCCTTTGTTGGTGAATGAAAAACTGGACATGAACTGGCAATGTGCGCTTGCAGCCCAGAAAGCCAATTGATCCTGAGCTGTGTAAAAAGAAGCACGGCCAGCAGGTTGAGGGAGGCAATTCTCCCCCTCTGCTCTGCTCAAGATCCCACCTGGAGTATTGCATCTGGCTCTGGGATCCCCACTACAAGAAAGACATAGACCTGTTAGTGGGTTCACGAAAATTATCAGAGGGCTGGAACACTCTGCTATGGAGAGAGGCTGTGAGAGTTGGGTTTGTTCAGCCTGGAGAAGAGAAGGCTCTGGGGAGGTCTTATTGCAGCTTTTCAATATATAAAGGGAGCTTGTAAGAAAGACGGAGAAAGACTTTCTACTAGGTGCTGTAGTGACAGGAGAAGGGGCAATGGTTTTAAACTGGAAGAGGGTGGGTTTAGACTGGACATAAGGAAGAAATGTTTTACACTGAGGGTAGTGACACTCAGGAACCACTGGAACAAGTTGCCCAAAGAAGTTGTGGATGCCTCATCCCTGGAAGTGTTCAAGGTCAGGTTGGATGGGGCTTTGAGCAATGTGATCTAGTGAAAGATGTCCCTGCCCATGGTAGGGGGGTGGACTACATCTTTAAATGTCCCTTCCAACCCAAACCATTCTGTGATTCTGTGAATCTATTTCTTCTCTCTTGTAGGGTAAACAACCTCACTTTATTCTGCCTTTTCTCATAGGGCATGTTTCCTACATCTTTTGTCATTCTTTATGGTTCTGAATTCTGTTCGGTTGGTTCATGTTTGAAATACATTTTACAAAGATAGAGATGGTTCTTCGTAGGAGTCTTATCAGTGTACATCATCACTTTGAGTGAGGAAATGCTGCAATTCTTAAACAACTAGTATCTGTAATATAGTGAAGCATCACCCACCTGTTTTGCCGGTTGCATTGTTTCTAACCTGCTTAGTAACAATGGTTTCAGTAATAAACTAACGCAGGTAAACTGGGATGGTTTAGAATATGGTTCCATATAAGTTCACAGGGAGAATTAGAAACCATCCTGGGAGGCAAGAAAGATGATAAACAGTGCTTAGCTGAGTATGATCTTCAAAAGAGGGCTGTATTCCAAACAGCTAAGGTGATCTTTGGATATAAAACCAGAATATTCATTTCAGAGATTTTATAGCTATCCCAAATTTGAAACATTGCACTAAGACTCCTTTTTGAAACCACTACAACAAGACTGTGTCTGATTCTTATTTCTGTGATTCAGTAAAAGCATTGAAAAGTGGTGGAGGTTTGTGGTGGGTTGACCTTGGCTGACTACCAAGTGCCCACCAAACCACTCTATCACTCCCTCTTCTCAACAGGACAGCGGGAGAAAATATGATGAAAAAGCTCATGGGTTGAGGTAAGGACAGGGAGGTTACTTACTGGTTACCATCATGGGCAAAACAGACTTGACTTGGGAAGATTAATTTAATTTATTGTCAATTAATTGTAGCAGAGTAGGATAGTGAGAAGTAAAACAAAACTAAAAACACCTTCCCTCCATCATCCCTCCTTTATTCCCAGGTTCAACTTCAGTCCTAAATCTTCTACCTCCTCCTCCCCCCAAGCGGTGCAGGGGAATAGGGAATGGGGATTACACTCAGTTCATAACACTTTGCCTCTGCTGCTCCTTCCTCCTCACACTCTTCCCCTGCTCCAGTGTGGGGTCCCTCCCATGGGATACAGTCCTTCACAAACTTCTCCAGCTTGGGTCCTTCCCATGGGCTGCAGTTCTTCAAGAACTGCTACAGCATGGGTCCTTTCCATGGGGTACAGTCCTTCAGAAACAGACTTCTCAAGCATGGGTCTCCCATGGGCCACAGGTCCTGCCAGAGAACCTGCTCCTGTGTGGGCTACTCTCCACAGGCCACAGTTCTTACCAGGAGCGTGCTCCAGCATGGGGTCTCCATGGGCTGCAGCTTCCTTCAGGGCACACCCACCTGCTGTGGTGTGCGGTCTTCCACAGGCTGCAGCGTGGACATTGGCTCCACCATGGTCCTCCGGGTGGAGGACACACAGACACAGGGGGACCACTTGCGCCACCATGGTCTTCACCACGGGCTGCAGGGGAATCTCTGCTCCGGCTCCTGGGGCACTTTCTCCCCCTCCTTCACTGACCTTGGTGTCTGCAGAGGTGTTTCTCTCACATTTTCTCATTCTCATCCCTACAGCTGCTCCTGCGCAGCGTTTTTTACCCCTTCTTAAATATGTTATCACCAATGTCACTGATTGGGTGTGATTTGGCCAGAGGTGGGTCTGTCTTTGAGCTGACTGAAACTGGCTCTGTCTGACACGGGGTCAGCTTCTGGTGTCTTCTCGCAGAAGCCACCCCTGCAGTCCTCCCTGACCCCCCTTTGCAAAAACCTTGCCACTTAAACCGAATACAAGGTTTCAGAGAAAAGCCATGAGAACAACTGAAAAATGGTAAAAAGGGGCCTAATGATGAGAGACTCAGTCTGGCTAACTTCGCAGGGAGAAGGTAAAACATCAGCAAACAGGAACTTGGTACAGAAGGAGGCTTCAGCGTAGCAAGAAATATTATACAGACTCTAGCTGATGTTAGGTAGACTCAAATAAATGATACGGTGTTCTTATTTTTTTAACCAGTAAGTGAAATTACTATGAAGGCAACTTGTGGAAGTATGGATTCATATGTCAGAGACTTCTTTTGAACATGGATTTAGTACTTTAGGAAGTAACTTGCTCTAGTTTAAGTAATTCATCTGGCCTGTGTTATACAAGAGTTCACAGTGTCTTCTGTCTTCACCTTTTATGAACATAACGCTGATCATCCAAGCTACCTTGCGGAGAAGACCTGTCATGAAGTGTGATTTATAAAGGCAGGTAGTTTGATCTGAAGACTTTAAATTGTGCAGAATTACCACTTCCCTTGCTAGTTTAATTTTTACTCTGCTGAGCTATTCTTAGTGGCCATCGCCAAATTCCGTGTGGTAGAGTTAAGATTGCATTAAAATGTGGTGTATTTCTTTCCTCTGTGAATCTTATTTTTCCCAAGGATTTTAAGGTTGATAAATGCCTATGTTCTGGAGTGACATGGGGTATGACAGGCAAGATCTGGAAGATTTAGTAATAAAAGCAGCAGTGTTTTTCATAAGCCATGGCAAGTTCTCTCATGACAGCTGCTGCGTTGTTTGGGAAGTTAATTTAGGGACATTCAGTGGGTCGTGGTCACTGGCACCTCTTTTTTCCTTCTAAGTGAGGATTCTGAAATGGCACATTGAAAGGATCGGGCAATTTTAGAAGCTAAGCAAAAGTACCCGAAATGAGTGCAAATGTGGTCTGATGAGTACTTGTCTATATTTTGGGCAGTTTGAGAAGTCACCGTCCTGCAAGTCTGATACAGTATCCAGTCAGAGACGAATTTCAAAGCAAAGTAAACACTAAGGAAAGCAGCTTCTTCGGCTTTAGGTGGAGCGGCACGCTTCAGTCTAGCTGACAGAAGTGTAACTACATCTGGTGGTTCTTAGTTGAACCTGTGTAAATTTATACAACAAATAAGACACAAATATTAACCTATAAATCCAGTAAGAGGACAGGGGGAGATCTCTACTTGAGATGCACAAACAGAAAAATGTTGATGACCATTCAGGTATGCTTCATGATACCTAGTCTACAAGGTACTTAATGAATTGGCATCTGTCTGTCTCAGGCTAACTTACTTACCTTTTACAATTTTAGAATGAGTCATGCCCTGGAAAGAGCAGAGTTAGACTGTCTGTGAAAGGAGATGGAACATTTCCTATGGCAGGCACCTGGCTATTTACCTCTGTGTCAGAAATCAAGCTGTTTCAAGATGTTTAGATTTTGTTTCCTGTTGTTATCCCTAGTGACAAAATACTGTACATTGTTATCGCTCTTTGCACTTTTGACTACCTTTCTCTTACTGTCCTTTGTAAGTTATGTCTCCTGATGACTTCTCTTTCACTAATATGTTTATAGCAATGTTCAGTGCCAGCACAACTCCTAGCTAAGCCTAGCTAAGAAAAGGTCCTAGTTTTGCATAATCTCTTAGCCCTGAAACATTTCCAATTAGTGAGGTGAAACCTAATTTGTGACCCTGAGTAGATGGACTGGGCTTTGCGTCCTGGGTTTAAGTTGTGAGGGAAACAGAACTTGGAAAGTTGTGTCGTTCTAAGCTTGGGTTTTGTGTCTTACAGACTTCTGGGACACAGCTGGACAGGAGAGGTTCCAGAGCATGCATGCATCCTATTACCATCAGGCTCATGCTTGTATCATGGTAAGGGTAGCGTCTCAGCTGTGAACTGATGGAATTTTGACTAAAAGCCATCCCAGTTGACACTTGGTCTGTGTGTTATGTTTTATGATTACGCTGCCTTGTATTTCCTGTCTCTTCCAGTGCTTTAAAAACCTTTTCTATCTTGTTCTTTCTTCTCTCACCTGATAAAACTAGTGTAGTTGGGTATGTTTAGCTCTCTTCTGTCTTTCCTGATAGTACTCTTGCTATATTCCCGGCTTTGCTGTCTTCTAAATTTCCTTACTTTTGGCCCTGTGTTTCCAGTAAGGTGGTACGTACAACTGAATGTACTTACTTAGAAGCAGTCCTGTCAGAGGTGATGCAAGGGAGAGGGCATTCCTTTCTTGTTCTCTGATGTGACTATTGCATTATGTAGTACCAAGCTGTTCTGACATGTTCTGCAGGGGTACTACGTAAGACATTCTTCTCTGGTCTTCTGCCCTTTCTATTTTCCTATACTTTGTGCTTCCCATTTATTAGCTCAAATCAGTCTTGTTTCCTGACGCCTAACCCACTTAGGTCTCTTGGTTTGTACCGTTGCTCTAACTTTCCACTGCTTCTCATCACTTGTGAGCATCAGTCAACTTCATTGATATTTTAATTGTTAAAATAGAGAAGCCTCACATCTGACTCTCCTTAGCAGAGCAGATCTTTCCCAGTGCTTGTTCACCATCCTGGGTGATAGAGTGCTTGTCATAGTAGAAAATAAGAAAGTAAAGGAAAATGAGGCATCGTGCATCACGCAAAGAAATGGGCTGGCTGCATGTTTCAAGGCTTGCTGGATATTGTCCCTTTTCTCTTTCATCCTTTCTAACAAAGGCCAGTTTCCTCTGTTGATGTCCCCCTGGGAAAATTCTGGATTCTGTACTTGTGTTTGGTGCCGTGGGTTGATCAGGAGCTGTCCTGCTGTTGGCCCCACACTAGCTGGTTCTTTTTTGGAAGGTGTTTGATGTGCAGCGGAAAGTCACCTACAAGAACTTAAACAGCTGGTACAAGGAGCTGAGAGAATTCCGCCCAGAGATTCCTTGCATTGTGGTGGCCAACAAAATTGATGGTGAGTATATCTTCTTCTTTCAACCTCTCAGGATTGTGATGTGATTCTCTTCTGACCTGGCTGAGAAAGAATGCCATTCATCTGTTTGGTCCAGATGAGCTCTTGAGCATTAGTCCCTCAGGGCTGTATTTTATCAAACAAATAGCTGGGTCCTCTACTGACCTTACATGCTGTCTTACAGGCTCTTGTCCTTGTTTTACTAGCAATTAAAAATACAAATTTGATCCATTTAAAGTGTATTCAAGTGGCGTCCTTCCAATGCCGTCCTTACTGCGCTGCCCATTTTGTCCAGCAAGAACCCAAAAGCTGATTGGAGCAGTACCTAGTCAAAAATTGCAGGATGTCTTGCTGGAAAAATAGCAAAACCAATTATGTGGCTTCCCCTGATCCAGTCAGTAACTGCCTTTGTCTTGCTAATTCAGCCTGCAGGTTTCCGTGGGGCTCCTCTGTGCTAAAGTGTCTAAATATACCTGCTGGCAAAATTGTTCACCTTCCTCTACAGATGATTGGATGATTCCCTCCTCTTAGGAGCACCAGCTAGGCATTCATTATTGCTATCATTTGGGTTGTGATCTGTCTCCCGCATCCTGTGAGAGCGCGTAACACATCAGCTTTCTGCTCAGCATCAACGAGAGAACACATACCCTTAGGACCTCAGTCTCCTGCTATTCTCTATCAAGTACAGTGTCAGGCATGCGCTTCCTTGCTGACATTCATGGTAGAAGTCATTGCAGCTATGAATAGGAGTCTGCACCTGAATAAGGTGTCTGGGCTCCCACTGTAGTCCTACAGAAGTTCATTGGGTTCGGTGGTGTGTTTTAGGGCATGATTGATCTTACCTAATAGAAGCCTCTCCTACAGGATGTGTCAAGCTCGCCTGGAATCCACTGATTGCACGGACTGTACAGGAAGTCCGAGGCAAATGGACTTGGTGTTGACATCCCTACTGTAGACAGAACCTCTGTCTAGATCAATCCTGCTCTTAGTGTTCTATGTGTGAGCGGACACTGCTCCAAGGGAGTCCTGGGCCTTGCCTTCGTTTGCTGTATTCCACCCGGACTAGGAAATGATTGACCCAGAGCTCTTAACACAGGCCCAGTCTGCAGAACAGTTGATCCAGCATCCTACAAAGAGGTAGGGAGCAGCTGCCTGGGCAGCGCTCACTGGCAAGCATTTGGAGTCTGAATGACTTCAGCTGTCGCTTCTATGAGCAAAGGCAGATCATCTGGAGTCATCCTCCTGTGCTGGCATACAGGTTGCCTATCTACCAAAACTTTGAGCTGTTACTGCTGTGTCAGCATGTCCTGTAAACATGCAGGAGATTTGTTCCAAAGCTAAGCTAAAGCCTCCGGCCTACTGAGGTTGGGGTAGTTGGACCTAACTGCCTGTTAAGTAAACATATATAACAGTTGATTCATTTGTACACTTGACTCACAGCAATATAGGTAACATGGCATAAGGGCCGTGGGGAGTTCTGGTTAAAAAGGCCAAGTGGAGGGAGAGGCATGACTGTACTGGCAACTGTGTCCAGGTCATGTGGACACACAGCAAAAATCGTAGGGATGTGCCTGGAAAATACTATCGTTGCCGCACAGCAAGTGAACTGATATGTTCTAAGCTGCAAAGCATTATTCATTTAGAGCACATCAGAATCCATCTAGAATTTAGTCAAGCACCATGGACAAAGCAACAAGAACGCTTTTCGTTTTGTGTCTTCTTGTCAACGGTTTGCTGATGCTGTTGCTTTTAAAACCCTATAGCTTCTGGGGAGGACTCTGCTAGCCTTGTACTCCAGTGAGGAGGCCTTGACAGCTAAATTGGGCTCTCGTCTCCATCTGTTCCACCACTCCTGCATGTGTCGGCATTCTGCCTACAGTGCTGTCCTACTGACCGCTTCTTCTTTTGCCCCCAGTGGATATGAAGGTGACCCAGAAAAGCTTCAACTTTGCCCGGAAGTTCGGTTTGCCCTTTTACTTTGTGTCTGCTGCAGATGGCACCAATGTAGTGAAGGTAAAACATAGCTATTTGGCTCAGCATCCATGAGACCCCTATACAGTCCAAGGACATGGAGACTGCTGTAGGCACAAGGAGCAGAAAATGGGCTAGGACATCTGTTGGGCTACTTGTGAAGTCCTGGTAGCTATAGGTAGTATCAGAGGGGTTTGTTGTTTTTTTTCCTTGGGGTGTGGGAGCAGTTTCCATATGTTACAGAAACCCAGTGCCCCTTACATTGCGTGACAAGCATTGTCCTTCTCATCAGCTCTTCAATGATGCTATCAAAATGGCAGTTGCTTACAAAGAGAATTCACAAGATTTCATGGACGAGGTCCTGCGAGAACTGGAGGTAAGGAAGGCTCTACTTACTGCACTCCTCCTAAGTGATGAGCAGCTCTGCTATTTTTTCCCTCAGGGAAAGCAGAACCTGTGGCAAAGGGTGAAACTTTGCAGGCATGGAAATATTTGCCTTATGCTGGTGACACCATGGGGTTTGTGTGCTGCTCGTGTCTAGGTTGGAAGGGGTGAGGTGGTAACCCTGTGAAGAGCCCACGCTGCCCTAGACCAAATTTGAAAGAACCACGGCAGAGTGTAGCTGTTGCTCTCACGCTTCTCAGCAGTTACTTGTCCTGCTCCTTTCCAGAGCTTTGACCTGCAGAAGAGTGAGAATTTGTCGGATCAAGAGGAGAGCTGCCCTGAAGAGAAGCCCCCCTCTGCCTAAGCCCTGGATCCTGAGTCTGTTTTTTCCCTTTGCTCTAGATTTCTGGGGCTAGCTAGAGTTGGCCTTCACAGAAGAAAGTAATTTTTCTCATGCCCTGAGAGCTCTGGTGATGGGCAGCTGGGCCTCTCCCTTCTTGTGGGAGACTGTCTGGGCATGATCATCCTTGACTCAGCCCCAGCCCACTGCACATCACGGTCAAGGAAAGGGCGAGAGCATCCACGTGGTCGCTAGTTCCTGCGTGCTTCTTCAAGGCAAAGCTTGCCAGGAGAGCTAAGCCACTCTTGGACCTGCAGGGAAGGGTCCTGCCCAGATGCTTTAATGGTACCTACTGGAGAAAACAAACACTAAAGAAATTTTTTTTATAAAGCTTTGAGCTTGCATCCTTCCTGCACTTTTGTTATAAGGCAACCTGGTTACTCTACCATGCAAGTCCAGCTGCCGGCCCTCCCCATTGCTTTCGCAGCCTGGCCCGTGCTGCCTCTCTGTCCACCCCGGTGGTCTCTGCTGCAGGGTTTCTTTGGGTTTCCTTCCTCATTCTGTTACAGAGCAGCCAGATCCAGCAGACTTCTGAACACGGGGGATTTCTCCTTTCATGTCCGCTAGAGCTGAATCAGGTGGACTCTCACACCCAGAAGGCTTGTCCTATCCCAGTCTGATGGATGTGGCTGCTGTTGTTCCCATGCATGTGATCAAGAGACTTAACGGTGCATTCCAACCACACACAGACTTACACAATCAATGTGAAGAGCAAAACAGATGGACATAGACAGAGCAATGCCTGTACCAGCACCCCTGTATATGGAACCACCACTTAGATAAACAGGAACACAGTCCAGCCCTCATCTGCCTTTCCAGATGATCAGGAATGGACGTTTACTAGTGAAACATAAACACACCTTCACTCCTTAGATTCATAAGCACAGTGTGTTCATAGATTCCTCAAATAACAGTATGGAAATTACGTCCCTGTAATATCTGTGGCTGGATGTTAAGCTCCTTACCCAGTCATTGGTGCAAACCTTGGGTCTTTCTAGATCCATGCCTCCTGGGACACAAGGGAGTCCAGTTTCAAGTTCACTGGTGCGTTGTACACACATACAGGGATCCTACCAGTAGCCAGCCCAAGACGCTTTGTGTTTCCAAATGCTGTCCCCAAGACCTCTAGCCTGCTATGACCTATATTCCCTTCTTCCACTGCACACTCACCCTCCTCTCTGACCAGACACATCTGCAGCCCAGCTGAGTGACTTTGT